TGGTCCTACTTGAATGTAAGACGGCTATCTCTTGATCAGTTTACTCTGAGAACAGACCCTATCCATTCTTGTTTGCATTCCCACTGGATGCAACTCAGATATAAACCTTAAGGGTGGGAATACCACATCCCACAACACCGTGTGCCAGGGGCTAAAAAATGCAAGGATGATCTGATAGGCTTCCAGCCCAGGAGGGACTGGCAGAGAGGACAGATAACTGATAACTTTTAATAGAGAGTGTGGAGTGTTGGGTGACGTAATGGAGCTATGAATAAAGTGCTATGCAGGGTAGCGAAATGAGAAACATTTAATTTTGCTGAGAATAAGGGAACCTTCTCCAAAGAATTGACATTTGATCGGATCTTTGGACTGAATCATTAGGCAAAGGACTTTGAGATGGGATGAAAAAAGAAAAGAGTAGAGGGGGAAGGAAGAGGGACACAGGAGACGGCAGCATTCCAAGAGAAAGAAATTGCAGGATTAAGGATGTGAGGCAATAGGCACATTCACTCATTTGTTCAGATGTTCATTCAACAAACAGATACTCGTTGAGAGCCAGGTATTTTTCTTGGCATTAGGGATACAACAGGAAGCAAGACAGACAAGGCTCCTGATGCTCTCGTGGGGTTTACACTTGAAAGTTGGATGTGATGGACGTGCATTAAAGAACAAACAAAAAAAGATGAACAAGAGAGTAATATGTGTTACATAGAAAATATATTGAGGACCGGGAGTGGTGGTGCACACCTGTAAATGTTCCAGGTGAAAGGAATATGAGTTCTGCACCTTTGAATTCAACTAACCACAGATTGAAATATTTGTATTGAACAGGTAGACTTTTTTCTTATCATTATTCCCTAAACAATAATCTAACAATAATTTATATAGCATTTACATTGTATTAGGCATTATCAGTAATCTAGAGATGATTTAAAGGATCTAGGAGGGTGTGCCTAGGAATTGAGCATCTGCAAGGTTTGGTATCGATGGTGGGGAGGGGATCTGGAACCAACCCTCCATAGGTATGTAACTGAAAGCGCTATCCTTGTCCTTGATGCCAATCCAATAACAAACTTGAGAAAATGGAAAAAAAAAAAGTTTAAAGCTTTTCTAGCAAAAGAGAAGGATAGGGGACTTCTGTTTCAAAGGCTGTGATTCTGTTCATCCTTAGGAACAGCGTGGTTTTATAGAGGTGATTCAGAGAAAAATAGGGAGGAGAAGATTAGGGAGGAGAGCTCAGGGAGGAGAAGTTTAGGGAAAAGAAGATCAGGGAGGAGAAGTTT